CAGTTGAGGGCTCATCCTACAGTGCCACACCGGGACTCCATTTTACATAGATCTCGGAAACTGACTTGGCCCAGGTCCCAGGTTAGTAAGTGGTGGAGCTGGGCTCTGTCATAGTTCCTTTAGTTTAGAATGTAACTGTCATTTGGTGACCAGCGCCCTTTCTTGGTTGGCTGTTATATTAACACTAAAGAATCCTTCCTGTGACCTGGTAAAGGGGTGTTGGTACCAGGGTCAAAAGTGAGTGGTGATCAGAAAGATGCTGTAGATAATAATGAACAGTTTCATGGATATAGAGGAAGCCTGTGAGAGCTGCCTTCTCTGACCGGCCCTGGCTTTTACAGGTTTTACTGTATCTTGAAGTAGGGCAAAGGCGATGGAATAAAATATTGGAATATAGAACTATACCTGGTAATTCAGAGCATGTGCTCATAATATCTATATATTCCCATTGAATGGGGAAGGCTTTGAAGATGAGTGGAAAATGTGTAGTGACTACCCATATACTGTGTTCCAGCCACTGTGCCACACACTAACTTAAGTTAGTTCACAGTGTTGTCTCCTGTTGTTAAGTGCCACTGGGTTGCTTTTGACTCACGTTGTTGTTGTTGTTAGGTGTCATTGAGTCACTTCTGACGACCGTGATCACAACAGAACCAACACTGCTGGGTTCTCTATTCTCCTCACAGCTGTTACTCTGGAGCCTTTGCTGCGGACGCTGCGTCTGTCCATCTCATTGGACAGTGTCTTCTCTTCCACTGAGCCTCCACTTTAACCAAGTATGAGATCCTTTAGGGACTGGTCCCTCTTGATAAAATGTTTGAAGTATGAGACATCAAGTCTCATCATCCTGGTTTCTAAGGAGCGTTCTGGCTGCACTTCTCCAAAGGCATCCTTCAAATGCATCAATTCTTCTAAGGTCTTCCTTATTCGTGGTCAAAGTTTCACGTGCATAGGTGACTGAAAATAACAAGACTTAGACGTCGACTCATAACGACCCTGTATAGGGTTTTTGAGGAATGACTGGTGTGATTGACCCACTGACCTTGTGATTAGTTGTCTAGTGCTTATCCCACTGTGCCACATTAGGTCTCCTAGTTTACATTGGCTCTTTCAGTCCCTGCGATGGGGAAGTGGGTTTGCCGAAGCTCAGAGAGGTTAAATTGCTTTGGTTAGAGATCATGCTGCTCAGCAGTGCTTGAGGTCAACCTTGGATCTATCCAGTTGGTGGTATCCCCTTCGGGTCACCATGGAGTGATTCTGGCTTCCAAGGGAGTTGTGTGTTTGGCTTCTGCAATCCCAGTAAGTTCTAATAACACATTTGCTTCTTCTTGAGTGGGTTTTTAGCAGGTGATTTCTTATGGTCACGTGGAACTGGATAAAGGTCATATAATCTAGATGATTGACTTAATTTTAAGATATTTCAGAAGAATTATGTGATCAGAGCTTTAAGCTCTTTGTGATGAAGAACCCAGGTATTCCCAGCACCTAGAAAAGAGGAAACACTCTGTGTTTGTTAGATAAATGACCTGTGAGTAATCTGATTAAAAGGAATCAGAGTCATGAAATTAGGATTATCTAATTAGGAGAAGATTGAGTTTAAGTGCCCAGGATGAGTTCATTTAGCTGTTAGAATTAAATACATTTGGACAACTCTCCTTGCACATCATTAGTGGCCGGGACATCTAGTTCCCATTTAAAAAAGAAAAAAGAAAAAAATTGTAGCTAACTATAATGTTTTCACAGGGACCTGGATTTTGAGGTCAAAACAAGCTGATTTGTCCTGTTAACATTGTGAAGTGCAGACATCTTCACCCTTAGTTTTCTATGAGGTGATAATTGTAGATTTAATTATTTCTAAGTGTACAGAAAGGACGTTTAAAAGATTGAAGGCAAAATTGAGAATCTAGGAGTCATCTTTTAACAATGTGGGACTATCCCACAGGGAGTATTTGCAATGAAGTGATTACAACCCTTCCTTTGCATATTAAAAATAAAAAGATTAAAGAAAAACAATGTTGGTTAGCTGAGGTTTGCTAGATTTCCTTCAGTGGGATTTCAATTTATTTATACTGGTATCTTTTCTGTTGGAATTTTCCGATGGCTATTTCAGAACACGTGTTAAATGATATTGTTGTGGATAACTAGTATGGTTGTGGATAACTAGTAATTTTAATTTAAGATGTCTCAAGAATGCTTTACTATTAATTGAAAGGATCCCCCCCCATCCCCCCAACCAGTATCACAGCCAATTACTTGTCTGGAGCAGCCAATTAGTGCAATTATTCCACAGCTGCGTTTGCCAATGCACAAAGCTCTCCTCCTGTTTTTATCAAAAGGATCAGGCTCCCTGGGAATGTTTTAACCTGACAGATTTTGAATAGTAAGGCAGTCGATTGATTTATTTATGTTCCAATAGTCCTCCCTCCTGCTCCCACCCCCCCTGCTCCCCCCCCCACACACACACACTCTTTGACAACATACTCAAAAGTGGGAAAATGTGTTTTCTTTTGATGCTCTTTTTAGTAGCAGCCAGCAAACTTACTAAGGGAGTAGATTAGTTTGAGTCAAGGCTAAGTATTCTTATTGTGTGATTGAGTGTATGATAAGAAAATATTAAGCAGGGTATTATTGTCATTCAAAGGAGCTCTGGTAGCGTAGTGGTTATGAATCGGGCTACTAACCTCAAGGTCGGCAGTTCGAAACTATCAGTGCTTCTGCGGGAGAAAGATGAGGCTTTCTGCTCCCGTAAAGATTTACAGCCTCGGAAACCCTGTGTGCAGGGTCACTATGAGTCGGAACCGACTCCACGGCACATAACAACAACAACGACATTTACTGAGATAGTACTGCGTATTGTATTAGTGTTACTGTGTGATTTGTTTGTTTGATCCTTGTGAAGTTCCTAAGAGGTGGTGGTGGTGGTGGTTATGTGCTGTGGAGTTGGTTCTGACTCATAGCGACCCTGTACAGGGTTTCCGAGACTGTAAATCTTTATAGGAGCAGAACGGCTCATCTTTCTCCTGTGGGACAGCTGGGAGTTTCGTGCTGTATAATATAAATGATGCAGTACTTTTTTTTTTTTTTAAATATCTCACTTTTTGAATCAGTTAGTGGGTACAAACTGTTGTTAATGACGTGTATATTGATGTCAATATCGTGGTTGTGATAGTGAAAATAATTTTGCATATATGATTGGTGGAAATTGATTAAAGAGCACATGGGATCTCTGTGTGTTCCGGCTTAAAAACAACCACATGAGAATCTGTAATTATATCTAAATTAAAGACGTTTAAGGAAAAGCAAACTATTGTTATTCCTCTTGGGGAAATTGGGAAAAGAGTGCATGGGACCTCTCTCTGTTACCTGTAACCGAATATAGATCTACAATTATGTCGAAAAGTAGGAAGGAAAAAAATACCACAACAATTTGTTATCCCTTGTATAGAATCACTGAGACAGAGTTGAATATATTGACAACATAAAGTTGGCAGGAAAAGCCATCAAAAACCGCATTTAGGAATATAAGGGTGACTTTCCTTGTTAACTCATTACCGGTGTTTATGTCAGAGTCCTTGGGTTACCAGTTATGAAGTGCTGAACACCTACTCAAAAGGGTGGAGATTAAACCCCACCCAGAGCAGCCTCAGAAGACAGCCCTGGTGGTCTGTTTTTGAAAGGTCACAGTCTTGAAAACCCAGTGGAGCAGTTACACCTGGATTTGCCATGAGTTGTACTTGGCTCAATGACACTGAAAGGAGCTCTGGTAGCGTAGTGGTTATGAATCGGGCTGTGAATCACAAGGTCATCAGTTCGAAACTACCAGCTGTTGTGTGGGAGAAATATGAGGCTTTTTGCTCCCGTAAAGATTTACAGCCTCAGAAACCCTGTACAGGGTCGCTATGAGTTGGAAGCAACTCCACAGCACATGACAACAACAATGACACTGAACCACAAAGGCATTCTGGTATTTCACAGCATTTGGAGGTAGAGCAGGTATCAGAAGACCATCTCGAGTAGGGCTCATACGGAACTTGCAGAACATATTTTTGTTGTTGTTGTTAAGTATAGTGGAGCCACTGCTGACTTACAGAGACCCTGTACAGGGTTTCCAGGGAGCAGCTGGTAGGTTTGCATCGACAACCTTGTCGTTAGCATTCCAGTGGTTTTCCTACAGCAGGATGTAGTAAAATCTATTCCAACTGAATCACAAGAAATCACAGTTCAGAGAAAACCAAGCATAACACAATGACATCATCTAGCCCTCTTGTCTCCTCTTCCTGAAGACTTAGATTGAATTCAGTTGTTAACTTTTTGCTCTCAATACTCCTTTAATGCATGATTTTTATTCCTCTTACCTTGGGTAATTTTCTCTATACCAACTTCACTTTTATTTAAACTTCTTCTTGCTTCTAAACATCTTAAATATCTCCAAGGGATTTTGGTAATTGAAGCAATATTTACTTGGCTAGGTTCCTTTATAAAAGAAAGTAAATCAAGTAATTAATTAAAATTTGTTTGTTGTTGTGATGAGAATAATATAATATATAACGTGACAAAATATTAACCATGTTAACATGTAGAAGTCACTGACATTGATTACATTCTTCATCTTGGACAACCATTCTTATTTCTCCAAATTAACATCAAGTAATTTATTTTTAAACGTGGAAATCTGGGTGCCATTAAGACACGTTGCTACTTGGCGCTACATATGGTGGCGCTATATTTGGTGGTGATGAGTAGTGTTCAGAGAAAATAATTAAGCCACATGATAAAAAAAAATGCCTAAATGTAATCAAGCTGGCTTATTTTAATTCAACTACTAATGACTTAAATCCTGTCAGCCTCTTGATTTTCAATTATGTGGAGTACTGTTCTGAGACTTGATTATATTTGCACAGGCTCATTTCATAGTTTGGTGCAATTTAGGATACCCCAAGATGCAGACGAAATGTCTCATTAGGAAATTTAACGTTGTGTGTCTTTTGGTTTTCCCACAGCAGTTCTGCAGAGCATCCTGGGGCCTCCAAGCCTCCGATAAGCTCCTCCAGCATGACATCACGCATCTTGCTACGCCAGCAACTCATGCGTGAGCAGATGGAGGAGCAGGAGCGCAGGGAGCAGCAGCAGAAACTGCAAGTAGCCCAGTTCATGCAACAGAGAGTGCCCGTGAGTCAGACACCAGCTATAAACGTCAGTGTGCCTAGCACCCTGCCCTCTCCCACTCAGGTGCCGATGGAAGTCCTTAAGGTACGTAAGTGTTGCTCTTGTCAGTTGAACTCAAGCCTGCCTTCCCAAACACTTCCCTTTATCTGGGTGTTTTATTTATCTAGTAATGCAGTGGCTGAAGCACTTCATTGACAACCAAGAGGTTGATGGTTCGAACCCACCAACCGCTCTGTAGGAGGACGATATGGCGCTCTGCTTCTGTAAAGATTACAAACTTGAAAACCCTATGGGGCAATTCTAAAATCTGTCCTATAGGGTCAATGCGTCAAAGTCATCTCCATGTAGTGTGTTTTGTTTTGTTTGGGGTTTATTTATCTGATTATGTATATGATGTGTGGACTCGTCTGAAACAAAGTTGTAAAGGCCAACTTCATTGATGTATAAGTGCATTTGCCTTTGTTTTGTCTTTGAAGAAGAATGTAAATTAAGTGTTAAGTTCAATAGTAACCCTGAATAAATGGCAGGAGAGTATTAATGTTCTATTAAAAATCTCAGGTAGAAATAGATATATGCTGCAAGGACATCTTTCCATTCTTCTTTGGGGATATTTTTAAAAATGCCAAAGTTATCTGAAACTGACGTCTTCCAGTACTTGTATATTTTTCTTTCTAAATATATTCCATGACAGTTTTTTAACTTTTCATTAGTACATCCTGGGTATAGAATCTTAACTCTTTCAGAAAGTCTTTAAGTAGAGAAGAGCTTCCTGCTTAAATAACCAGCCAGCGTAATCCTGAAGCTGAATTGCCTTATAAAGGTCTTTGATTTTGTGCTGGGGGAGGAACTGCAGGAACTTGTTATAGCATCTTTCTGTCAGCGACATATAGCTTGCTAATTACTGTATAAACTACAACGAGTCTAAGAAAAGTATCACATCTCACACTTTTGTCCTCCAGCATTATATATAGAGATAATCCTTGTTTAAAGATAAACAGTCTAGCTCTTTAAAATATAACTGATGCAAAGACATTAAAAGGAAAGAAAGGGAAGGGCTTTGCTTGTGTTTGTGTGTGTGTGTGTTTGTATTTAATAATGCCATTCACCTAATTGATACGTTCTGAAGAGTCCCAAGTGATACTGTTCATTAAAGCCTGTGAACTTTACACTCCAGTGATTCATTGTTGGCCCTAATGTTCCTTCCTGTGCACAGAAAACATTTCCCTCCATCTAAAGTTTATTGTTTAAACAAATAGGATGATGGTCAGCTATACCAGGAAGTCAGAAAAAGGTTATTTAAAAACAAATTGGAAGTTAATTAATTTCTTCTTTGCAAAGACTTTAAAAATGTAATGATAAATAATGAAACTCTGATAGAAAAACCAGCTGAAAATCTTTTTAGGACGGAAAAGATTTCAGATAAACTTTGCTTATATTTGTTTGAAGTTTTGGATATTGCCACAATGAATGTATTTTTTTTTTAAGTTTTTATTGTGATTTGAGTGATATTTTACATGGGGGAATATCAGTTTTACACTCATTGTTTCACTGCAGTGATAAGAATCAATATATATATTTTACTCTTCGCTCTCCCTGCTTATACAATGAATCTTACATAGATTGTAGGCTGCACATGGATTCGTAGAATTTATAGATCATACGTTGATTTTTTTTGTTCTGCTGAGGTGAAAATTGATGATTTGAGTTGTCTGCTGTTCATAGGAAATCATGTTTGTTTTATCTACATCCCAAATTGTTTAGCGGTGTATACATTAAATAATAATAAGATATAGAGAAATATGTCTATTCTATTCATGACCATGGTGAATATTTTACATCAGAAGGAAATCTGTTACATGAGATGACATGGATTTGCTCTAATGATGTTTTAGGTAGTATATGAATTACATTAAAACATATTAATTAAATACAATGTTCATATAAAGTCAGTTGCATTCTGTGGTGGGAAAATTGCCCAGAATAAATGTGTTGCAACCTTATTTATATATCATCTTAAAAATGTACAACTTTTCTAAATGCTTTAGTACTTTTGTTGTTGTTAAGTGCTGTTGAGTCAGCGCTGATTAATAACGACCCATGTATAGGATTTCCAAGGAGTGACTGGTGCATTTGATCTGCTGACCTTGTGGTTAGCAGTCCAGTGCTTGTTTTGCAGTGCCATGCCAGGACTCCTTTCAGTACTTCGTATATGTTATTTTGAAACTGATTAAAATTGAAATTTGCATTAAACTGTTAGAGTGATCACCTCACTTTTCTGTGTGTTTCTTTGTCCTGGAAACATTGGCTTGTGCTATAATCCCCGTGTTAGGTATGCCAGAAAAGTATCAACAGTTGAAGCCCAAATTATTTGAACTGTATGACATAGTTTGACTATAAATAAGCAATTGGTAAATACTTCATGCTAAATATACTCTAGCTCTTGCATTTTTTTTAATTCAGTTGTTCAAATGTGAAGGGTATCATATTAAGAGTTCAGAAAACAGTTGTTGGGATTATAACATACATAGTTTAGATCAATATTTAGTCATATTTTAGTACCTTCCAATGAAGGACCAGATTAAAATATATACTTTTACCTCAGGTGGTGTTCTAAGCGATTATGATTATCATAAAAGTCATCGCTTCAGGTAACTAATAGTTTACCTAAAAAATATATATAATAATAATAATAGTTCACCTAGTTTCAGAAATGTTATGTAAATATACTGACCACGTGAAAATACTTTTATAAAATGTGACTTGTAAAAAACAAAGAAGAGATAGCAATGGCATTAGTTAGTCCTTTTCCTTTTACAGTTTTGAGTCAGAAACACAATTTATTGTTGTTGTTAAGTGCTTAGTCTTGAACCAGTGTAAAATGAATATAAATTTCCAAGGCAGGTGTAATCCGTGATCTTAATACAGATGATATGAATACAGATGATATGAATGAAATATTTTTGTGATTCTTCATTTAAATGTTTAAAATTTAAATTGTTAAAAAGGACCATAACTCAAATTTCGTCTTCTCTTAGTGGCGGCAGATGTAAATAACTACCTATGACGGCATGTGCTCGAGTGAGTTTTTGTTAAACGCCATTGAGTCAGTTCCGACTCACAGTGGCCTTGTAAATGGTTTCTGAGAAGTTGCTCGTGGGTTTGAACTGCCAACCTTGTGCTCGGCACTCTAATGTTTATCCTACAGCGCTGTTTCCAAATTAGTTGCAAGAAATGGTGAAAGAAATACAAATATCATCCTATAGTTTTCACCTACACACTAACTCAGGGGATTCAAAGGTGGGCTTTGAAATGCTATATTCGTATTAACCTAGTGTTCTTTGGCAGTATTTTACTTAAAATATCTTAGGAAGCTCTACAAAACATGTTTAAAAATTGTTGGCCTTTTCTGGCAAAACTAATGAAAAGCCCCAAGGACTAATGCTTAGAGTTTGGTGCTGCCGTTGAGTAAATATCCAGTTCTTGTCACTCTGTAGGACACAGTAGAACTACTCCTTTGAGCTTCTGAGAAACTTTCTATCTTTATGGGAGCAGTGAGCCACAAGTTTTCCCGGCAGACGGACTTGAACTGCCAGCCTTGCAGTGAGAAGCTCAGCTCCTAACCTTGTGCGCCACTAGAGTTCCTGGAATTGGTTTGAAAACCTGAGTCATTCATCCCTCACATAGCCATCATTCAGTTTATAGGTTCATGAAACTTACATTATTAGCCTATGGTTCCTGTATTGATTTTTTTCACTTGTGGATTTATTTCTATTACTGATATTCATATTGGGTGACATGGAATGATTTATCTTTTGAACTGCAAGGTCGGCAGTTCAAACTCACCAGCCACCCTCAGAAACTCTATACAAGGTCTCTATGAGTCGGAATGCCTTGATGGCACTTAATAACAAAAATATTTAACGATTAGAGATAGTTCTTTTTTCTTTTTCAAGAACTGTCTTATCCAGTTAGATATTAAAATTTCAGGAAGTTGCTTTGTAATAAACACGCTAACATTTTGGACTGTATAATCTATTTTTTTTTTTTTTTGTAGTAATGAACACACCCTATATTTCAAATTATGAATTAAAAAATATATATGTATTCAGAACCTTCAATGGAAGAGATTTCTTCCACATGAGTGGAAGTATGTGAGGCATACAACATAAGGTTTGGAAATGGATTGATCTCATTTCAAACAAATGCCGAGTAACCAGGAATAGACCTTACGCTCATGTGTCAGGTGTCCTAGCTACAGTAGCTTCATGTCACCACTGCTTTGTCTTCAGGACACTGTTCCAGCATCTGTTTTCTCCTCCTTGTCTCTCTAACTCTCATTGATTTCAAGGCCTCTTGTTAACTGAACTCAGACTGGCAAGGTCACCAGGGTTTTTCTCTGCTCATCCCCAACTCGGACTTGAACATTTATAGCTTTGGAAACATTAGTTTATAGTTCAAAAACATTGATTTGTTCAGAAATGTTTAGGATATGTCTCTTTCCATCCTTCCTTTGCATTCCTGCCTTCCTTCATCCCTTCTTTCCTCTCCCTCTCTGTGTTCATTTTCTGTCTCCTCCACTATCCCTCTTTCTCTTCCCTCGTACCTTCTTCTCTGCCTTACCTCCTTCTTTTCATCTTAGAATTTAAATAAAAGCACTCTGTACTCTGTCTGGAAGAGAGTGTACATTGGATTTGTCTGTTCTGCTTAGGTCAAAGGTTGTGTGAATTTAAAAGGATGTTTGTTGTTGTTTTTGTTTCTTTAGAATTTTTATTTGAGCTAGTTTGAAGGGCATTTTTTTTCTTTGTTTTTTATTCCTAAACCATTTCAAATAATCCAAGGAACTGTACAAATTACTCTGCATTTAGAAATGATGTGTGACGTTCGTCAGATAATGAAATACATTTTGCCAAATAGAGAAATAACATTTATATTGTAAAGTAAAGTTGCTCTTGGCTTTTATTTGATGGCTGTCTCATAAACATTGCGTCTCATCAAGATCGAGATCCTAGTGAGCTGGGATGGAAGCCGTGCTTCCTTGACATCCTGGTGTATGACCAATGTTCCATGAGAGCCCACCAGTGAAG